CAATCAACTGGAGGTATTTCTCAAGCCATCTGTAAATATATCTGACCAACAGAGTATCTTTACCGCTGTGGAAAGTTCATTCAAGAAAATCTTCAATAAGCAGAAAGATATTCATATTCGCAAGTTTTCCCGTCTCAACAGCGAACAGAATAGAGCCCCTTCTACCTCAGCCTCAGCATCTAAGAAATTCATCCTCAATCGATCCAAATATATTTTAACGGACTCTGAGGAAGCAGTCCTTATGAAAGGTTTGAATTTTTCAGTAACACGTCCACACTCAAACTTGGATATGGCATGTGCGGTGGAGTCTGTTGTTTCGAAGCTTCCACAGACTAAGGGCATGGAATTCAGATGGAAAATTAGATCCATGCTAGAGAAGTCTAAGTCATCCAGACCTAACATGACCACGAAGGAACTGAAAGCCATGAAATCTTTGAGACTTAACAAGGAAATTAGGGTTCTTCGAGCAGACAAAGGCAACTGCACAGTGGTTCTGGATGAATCCGAATACAAGGATAAGTTAAACACGTTGCTAGAGTCCGGAGTTTACGAAACCCTGCCCAAAGACCCTACAGCTAAGGTGGAGAGGAAAGTACAGAAACTCCTTGCTAAATATAAAGCCACTCTTCCAACCAATCTTAAACACAGGCTGACTCCATATCACAGCAAACCTCCACATCTGTATGGTCTGCCCAAGATTCACAAAGCGGGTATTCCTCTGAGGCCTATAGTAAGTTCGATTGGTTCTCCTTGCTATGCACTGGCCGGCTTTCTCCATAAGATACTCAGTCCTTTTGCTGGTAAATCCGACTCTTTCGTTAAGAATTCCGCCCACTTTTTTCAGTTATTAAAGACTGTTAACCTTCAGTCTGAAGATACGCTCGTTAGCTTTGACGTTGTCAGTCTCTTCACTAATGTACCAGTCGACGAGGTCCTACATGTCATTGAAAACAAGCTACACGACGATGTCACACTGACGGAACGGTCTGTCTTGCAGGTCGGAGCCATCATGGAGCTGCTGGAAGTCTGTTTGAAAACCACCTATTTTCAGGTTGACGACAAGTTCTTCCAACAGAAAGATGACATGGCTATGGGAAATTCTCTCTTGCCCATTGTTAGCAACATCTTCATGGAACATTTTGAAAAACGCTCTTGACTCAGCTCCGTACAAACCATCGTTGTGGCTGCGATACGTGGGTGACACTTTTGTAGTCTGGCCTCATGGTCCAGAGAGATTACAGACTTTCTTCGACCACCTCAACAGTTTAAGGCCTTCCATCTGCTTCACCATGGAAACTGAGTCTAACAATGCGATCTCATTTCTGGACGTTCTGGTCATCAGGGAAAAGACGGCACTAGCCACACAGGTCTACAGGAAACCCACCCACACTGGCCAATACCTCAACTTCAATTCTAACCATCTGCCGCATGTGAAAAGAGGCTTGATAAAAAGTCTCCACGACAGAGCCTCTACCATATGCCAAGATCGACGAGATTTGGTCAGAGAAATTAACAACGTGAGACACGATCTTCAGTTGAACGGTTATCCCAAAGGTTTTATTGACTCGGTCATTAATTCCAAGGGCAGTAGTCGTCCGAAGAAAGAGGAAAGCCCTCTGTGTTCTGTTTATATTCCATATGTGAAGGGTGTGTCTGAAAAGTTTAAACGGATAGGTAATCGATATAATATTAGGACCATCTTCCGTACGAGACACACACTTAGGAACTCCCTTATGAAAACTAGACCGGAAAGAGATCCGCAACAGACGGCACAGTGCGTCTATAGCATTCCCTGTGAATGTGGCAGAAGCTACATTGGCGAAACAGGCAGACCTCTGGCCGTGCGGCTCCGGGAACATAGGCATAACCTAAAAGAAGGTCTTCTAGAAAAATCTAAACTAGCTCAACATGCCTATGAAGAGGGACATAGGGTAGGCTGGGATGAAGCTAAGATTTTGGATATTGAAAGCCACATGAGGTATAGGAAATACAAGGAAGCGGCCCATATGGCATGCTCGGCCAACCCAATTAGCCAACCCAGTTTGGACTTTTCTCCCATTTGGATCCCCATTATCAGCAATGAAGTCACCAATTCACATAGAAGATCTGTATGATGTGATATATGCTTTTATTTATTTCTATTAAGTTCTAAATTAGATAGACGTGATTTACTCCACTGTTGACGCTAGTTAGACACTATTAGTTTTTGTTACTAGTTCTTCTTTCTATTCCATGCCGTGGGGTTATGGACCTGGTTATGAGTTTAGTTTCGTGGCATAAATTTCTACAGATCTATCTATCCTGGTTCCACGCTTGTGTTTGCTACAATTTGTTATGAATATTTTTCATATTAGCTCTCATGGACTTTTTATAATCTTCATGTTTTGTGACATTGGTTTGTCCAGTGATTGAGGCTAGCTCTTTCTAAGGGACCCAACTGAATAGGTGTTTTCCTTCACCTGAGGACGGAAACAGATCCAGTTTCCGAAACGTCGTGTTTTTATTTGTTATCTTAAAAACCAGGACGATGGATAAAGTCCAAAAACCCAACATATCAGTTAATTTTAAATGTTTTGAATATTTGCAGTCAAATTTAGTTTAACTTGTTCAAATATTTTATGTAAATTATGAAAGATTCCCTTAGCATTGGTTGTCCCTGAAGGTGGCCAGTCAAGGCTGAGATCTGTTGGTGCTATAAAACCACATAATCATTACAAAATTTGATGCTCTTGATGAGAGTTTTATACTTATCTTAAGGTAATTGTATATTGGCAGTAATGACCTCTGTCATGTTATGTTAATGGAATTTTACTTTCATTCATTTGTAACACACCTGTAAACCACCACTTCTCTCATATTTGCAAGTTACAAATGCTCTACTGTCTTCCACATGATAAACATATGGCGTGTATACTATAAGTGTGGTGCTGAATACATTTGCTTTTGAAAACACTTTCGTCTGAATTTTGTTTCTTGAGGCAGGAGTAGCATAATATATATATATAATTTACAAAAAAAGGAAAGCTGCATAATTATTTTGAAATTGTCAGCTACAGTATCATATTTTCAGCAGTTTGAAATAACAGCAAAAATTATGTCCTTTGTTAGTTCATTTTGTGAATAGTGTACCACAGATGGCTGAAGAGTTGCCTGAGTATTGTTCCATTGAAAACCATTTACTTAATCTTAAATGGTGAGTGAGTAATTTTGAGAAGAATTACCAGCAGCAGTTTTGTCAAGTTTTGAGTTTCAGCTTCAGTTCTTAATAGAAACTTGATTATTGTCATGCTGTAAAAGAATGATGAAGTAGAATGTTTAACTTTTCAGAGAAAGACTTGAGTAAATCGCTGCAAGATTACACATGTATTTCTTGAGTTGATCTGTCAGTAACCATCCACTATTGATAGGTTGTACTGTCTGTGTTGTCTTCAGATCTCTGTTCAGTATTTCTGATAGCTCCGAATTCCG